AGGTCCCCAGTAAGAAACAGTAAAAAGAAGTTACATTTTTATGTCGACGGATAGAAAGAAATGTCTCGTCTTGCGCCAGACGGCAGATGACATTTCGCCCGAGATAGCTCGCTCCTTGGGGCGCAGAGTACGATACGGTTCATGTCCAGGCAGTGCCCAATGCACTGCAGAATAAAACGTGAATTCCCCCGTCCCCCGCACGCTATGTGACCTTGATCTCAACGGAATCTCAGTCTCAGAATTCTCTTTATGTTGTAGTTCCTGGCTACAGATCCAGAGGTCCGTGTTCGATTCCCGACGCTACCACATTTTCTGAGAAGTTGTGGGTCTGGAACGGGGTACACCCAGCATCGTGAGGTTTATTGAGGAGCTGTTTCAAGGAAGTAGCGGCTCCGGTCTAGAAAACCGAGATTAACGGCCGTGGGGATCCGTTGCGCTGACCACGTGACACTATCTATCCACTAAAATTCGGCAGTAACTTCGCCGACAAGCAGCGGTCGCTAGGTCGGTATAGTTCGCTTGCGGACTAAAGCCACGGAGTTTGTTAAGTGTACTGCTAATTTACAGCGTTCCTTTGATATAGCTTAATGGGCAAAAAGAAGGTAAAGCTATCCCTGTAACAGGCCGTGGAGGCCCATAGGGTTGTGAGACGTCGAGGCCCCCACATTTTCTCGACAGTCGGCTCATAGATGGCGGTGAGTTGTCAGCCTTACGCGCCAGCCGCCCTTTACCCCCGGGAAGATTCCTGGTACTCATTTCTGTTAGAGGCTGAGTCGACCCCAGGGCCATAGTGCGGCTGGAAGGATTAGGTCAATTGAAAAATCGAATGACCTCATCGGGAATCGAGCCCCAGATCCTCCGGCTTGTAGCATAGTGCCTCAACCAACTACGGTACCGCGTGCCCCTACCCTTAATTGGACGTTTGGTTGTACCGTCCAATACATATCCCTGTATCGTGAGCCTGGCTTCAGTAATGCGCCAATAGTCATGCTGGCTTTCAAGTCCGACCTTCGCCAGCATTCACATAACACTGCCGACGTTTATCTATATTTATTTATATACTGTATATATATTTAATGACAATTTCAACACCCCAGATAATAAATCATTGAGTGACAGTGATGTGCGACTTGACGTTCTCACGATCTTCTGGAATGTGACTCCCTGTAATTTGGTATAGGTACCGACGTTTCGGAGGAAGTTATTACTCCCATCTTCACGGTAAACGGAATAACATTCCAGAAGACTAATTTGTAGCGAATAATGAGTTGAAAAGAACGCGGAAATAAGCGGTCGTGTACCATCGCAACATTTGGATGGGCGGCTGAGTACAATTGACGAAACTCCTGAAGGAGCTAGCCGGTCTTCGGTCACGTGATTTGATCCCTGTAGGAAAATTCAGGCCACGGTCGCTTCCCTACAAATCCTTCCCAATTCATCTTTCACCTACTCATGCTACCAATCAACGCTATATTATCCGAGGTGTTGACACCGTAGCTTATTTGGTTGAGGCACTATGCTACAAGTCGGAAGGTCGCGGGTTCGATTCCCGATGAGGTCATTGTATTTTTCAATTGAACTAATCCTTCCAGCCGCACTATGGCCCTGGGGTCAACACAGCCTCTATCAGAAATGAGTATCAGGAATCTTCCCGGGGGTAAAGGGCGCCGGCGCGTAAGGCTGACAACTCACCGCCATCTGTGAGCCGACTGTCTAGAAAATGTGGGTGCCTCGACGTCTCACAACCCTATGGTCCCTCTCGGTCTGTTACAGGGATAGTTTTACGTTTTTTTTTACTGAGAACGTTTCACACGGACCGCAAAAAAGTTCCTACCTCACAGAAAACACACTTCGTCTTTATTACAAAGACCGTCTGTTTAATAATTTACGGAATTGACACTTGTTATCGACGAGACCGAGAAATACACGCTGTGAACAGAACGCACTATTTTATGTCGATGTGGGTGGCGCGTATATACCTCTGTGCTTGAAAGAATGAAACATACTTGAGACCCTGCAGACAGCGGATGCTTCTAAGTGCCTCCCCCAGAAAAAAAAATAGCTTGAATAGATTTTATAGCAATTTTAAGCCAAGCGAGTGTCAGATCAGAAGTGAGGCCCAAAACATAAAGACCAAGGATATGATAGGTGAGTGTGAGGCGGTGGCAGAGTGATGATTAGCAGGGGGAAATGGAAGAAACTTCGGAGAAAACCTTGCTCCAGTGCCACTTCGTCCACCTTCAATCTCAGATTAAGTCTCCTAGGTCTGAACCTGGGGTCTGCGTAGTGGGAAGCCAGCGTGTATCCGCCCATGCTAAAGGCAATTGAAATTCAAGTGCCACTGTTACAGAGTGTGGGATATCCTCTTCTGTTAACGAGCAGTTCTGGCAAGAAGTTGAGACCACAACTTTTCTTCAATTACTTCAATCTGTTAAGACGAAACTGGCAGGAACTACACAATTTAGTCTTCCATTGCTCTTCATATTTATCATTAGTACCTATATTATGCCTAGGCACGCGGTAGCGTAGTTGGTTGAGGCACTTTGCTACAAACCGGAAGATTCGGGTTCGATTCCCGATGAGGTCAGTGGATTTTTCAGTTAACCTAATCCTTCCAGCCGCACTATGACCCTGGGGTCGACTCAACCTCTAACAGAAATGAGTACCAGGATCTGGTATATTTAAGAAAATAAAAGGAAGCTTACGAGATTACCTTGCTGTCTCTCTGTGTTCCCTAATTTTTTAGTTTTTATGCGGTCCGTGTCGTATCAAAGGAAAACAGGCGATTGGTTCTTCTCAGGGGTTCTTGTTGCAGTATGGAGATTACGTTGCACCAATGGGGGAAGTGCGGAATATGAATTTGACTGCAGAAGGACATTTGTAAGAAATGGGAGGCCGGTACAAGCGTTTGAATGAAGAACTTAAAGAGATAATGCTACAGTTACCGGGAAGCAGATGAACATAAATTGAAATGCTTCCTCTATTGTGTCAGGAAGTTGTTTGAATGTGCGCCATCATTGGATCGTTAAGTCATTATTATAAAGTTAATAAATTCTGTTTTTCAATTTTTCGATCTGAACAAAACTCGCTATAGCGGTGATCTCGTTGTGGGCACGGTACCTTTGTTCTGTCAGGCTGCGGCTGAGGCCATATGTGCCTTCAAACATATTTTAGACACTTTCAGGTGACTCGTTGAACGTTAGTATATTTACAAAGAACAGGCAGTTTAGTAGATATTTAAATGAATATAATAGTAACAGAAGACGTATGGGGGAACGGAGGTATAGATCCACGTATTTATTACATCGGCACTAAGTGGAAGTAAGCGTTCAGCTTCACATCCCGGCCGCTTTACACCCCGGTATAGGAGTCTGGATGAGCTCCAGAACCGGTCTGGAAGCTGTGGAGTAAAGTCTTTGCCTCTGCCGAGGAATGAACCCCAATTATCCGGTCGTCCAGCTTGTAGGCTAGTCAAAATACAAGCGAGGAACGCATAACTTCAGCCTTGTTTGTTTTGCAATGGTGTGTCAGTCAGAAGTATTGTGGTTGCAATGTTAAGTGTATTGTTGACAAGGCGCGTTTCGGTATGCACGCTCCTGCCATCTGGCAGCCCGTTAGGTAACTACTTCCAGATAGCATGTCGCTCACTTCGCAGAACGTAAGAATTCTGTACTCGAGGTTTTAATGTCCCAATTTGGAACGAAAAAGAAAGTAATTTGAATTCAAGGATTTTTTTCTGTAGAAATGTTACTCATATATTTTCTGCTTTTGTGTGTGTGTGTGTGTGGGGGGGGGCAACGAATGGCTGTATTTTGATTTTGCACTGTTCGGAAGAAATAAATTCTTTAATCACACAACAGTGCCATCCACAATAAAAATTTTCCAGGGTTCGGAAAGTTTTATATTGCATCTAGGATTACTACGTTTCTGGACTTGACCATTGTCTAGTATTGCGAATAGACCCATTGTAGAAACTAGTTATATAAGATTCTGACATCGTGTTGCAGTGTAGTGCTTAAGCAAATATTGCACAGTGGAAAACATGACTTTCATTTTACAGTAAGTCGGAAATATATTCTAGACACAAGAATCATGTGCCTTTAGTCTGCTCCCTCCAGCTAGAAAATATCGGCATAGCAAATCTGTATCGAATTTTCAAAAGTTCCGCATTAAAAATTGCATCCATTCAAATCAATTTTTAATGCGGAACTTTTGAATTTGTCTAAACATTTAAACATTCAGTTCGTACCTCACAGGAAACACTGCATCTCTAACATTTAAACATTCAGTTCGTACCTCACAGGAAACACTGCATCTCTAGTAAATCTGAGCAAATGCCTTGTTTATATTAAGAGCGATATGAAAACAACACTGCAAAATGCAGTCTTTTTGGCGTTAAAGCAGATGTTAACATTTAGTTGTCCACGTATTGAAAGGACTGAAATATAAATATAATGTTAAAGTATTTGTATTTCATTGCAATAAATCGAAAATTTAATCCATATGGAATAACCATTGAACGTGGTGTTTGAATTAAATTTGTTTCCTGTCGTAATATTTCTAATTCCAGTCTAAGTCTTTGTTAGATATGACTCATATTTCAATTTTATCTGGGATTAAGAACACTATATCAATCAATATTAAAGACACTCATATTAATAAAGAAAGATCATATTTAAATTAGCCGGTCACGGTAGCCGAGCGGTCTAAGGCATGTACTGTCTTCGCTCGCTCGGAAGTCGGGATCGTGGGTTCGAATCCCACGCAAGGCATGGATGTTTGATGTGCCTATACGTTTATTCTATGTTTGTGTTGTCCTGTGTTTAGGTATAGGCCTTGCGACGAGCTGATCATCCATCCAAGGAGTCCTACCGTCTGTAAAATGATCATGAAACTGAGAAATCAGCCCTACGCTCCAAAGTGGGAGCAAAAGGAGAGATATTTAAATTAACTATTTCGAAGTCAAGCTTTTGGGATTATAAAGCGTTAAAAGCACTTACCCCACATCTTGGGAAAACGAGGGCAGGGGTTCGACTTCTTCCTAGGATCCACTTCATTTTCCCCATTTTGCCAATGTCAGAACCACGTGTTAGGTCCGGAGCACTGTTACGCTTAAGTGTTTACGTAACACTAGGCTGTATGCCTCACAGTTGTAATTAATTGATATGTGATTAGTCAGATTACTCATAAAATATCAATAATAAGTTCACACTTAAATTCGCCACTATCACTTCTCGTACGCCCTTCTTGACGGCTGTCAGAACGTAAATCAGCGCGTCTCCTGTGTGATATTGTGACGAAATCATGTAATTGTGGACACAGGTTATTCGCAAGATGACTTAATGTCTCCTCAGATTTTATTTAATTCAGATAACCACTAATATAGTTAAAAATATCTCGGTCCTAAGCTGTCACTCATTTACACGCGCAGATATCTTGATCGATATAATTGTTGCTAACAATATCTCGATTATGTCTATCTCGTAAGTTTTTATTGAATGAACTGAGTCAGGTACAGAAGTCCACCTTTATAATGATGCCATCGCGCTGTTGATTAAGGAAGGGGGGGTAGGGGCGGGAGGAGGGCTTCACGGAGGTAAACTGTCGCAGGGGAAGTGCAGTTCAAACAGCTGTAATCAAAGCTTGTATTTTTTTTTTCCGAAAGAAGAGAGGAAAGGAAGGGGAAGGTGTGTAAAGAGTGGGGAGAACAAGGGGAGGGGATGGAAGTTTCGTGTTGGAACAGTTTTCTTTGAATGGGCGAAGGCGGGGGAGGTGCATGGAAAGTTTCAAGAATTTCCGCCTGCTCAGAAAAATGTATTATATTCGTCATTATGTTCCTGTGTTTATACAACTGATTTTGATTGTATGCACAATCATTCAGGTGTTAAGTGAAGGGCGTTTACATTACGGGAACAGTAGAGAGTAGAATATAACTGAGTCACAGACGGGCTGTGAACTGAGCTCGCTCGGTTCATCATAGTCGAAACGTCGAATCAAATTCCTGACTAAATATAGTGATGTGCTGGATCTGGTGTTCTCGGAGCGGTGAATATGAACGAGTTCTGTTTTCTGGCATGTAACGTCATATAGTCCATTCAATGTCAGACGACGTTTCGGAAGAACATATCGCCTACATCTTCAGTCTCGAACAGTAAAGCAAGAAACCAGAATGATGTAGCCAATAAGACTTCTACCCTGAATATTAAGGAGGTTTGTTCCTCCGAAACGTCGGTTATCTTTCAACAAGCTACACGANAATATAACTGAGTCACAGACGGGCTGTGAACTGAGCTCGCTCGGTTCATCATAGTCGAAACGTCGAATCAAATTCCTGACTAAATATAGTGATGTGCTGGATCTGGTGTTCTCGGAGCGGTGAATATGAACGAGTTCTGTTTTCTGGCATGTAACGTCATATAGTCCATTCAATGTCAGACGACGTTTCGGAAGAACATATCGCCTACATCTTCAGTCTCGAACAGTAAAGCAAGAAACCAGAATGATGTAGCCAATAAGACTTCTACCCTGAATATTAAGGAGGTTTGTTCCTCCGAAACGTCGGTTATCTTTCAACAAGCTACACGACGTTATATCGCAGAAGATAACGATTGAATATAGTATATTGTCGTATTCTATGTACGGGGGACACCGGCACCTACTGTTGTGACTAAGGTGTTTCGAAGCGGCCTCCGTAGTCTAGAGGTAACGTTCCCACCTCATGACTCGTAGTACGTGGGTTCAAACCCGGCAGAGTTCGTGGAATTTTTAAGGGCGGAAAAATTCAGGGAACAAGTCCTCCGGGAGGGACTTCAAGCCATGGGTCCCGTGTCGTAGCTTTACGGCATGTAAAAGAGCCTCAATCTCCAAAGGAGGTCACTGAGCCAAATTCCAGGACGTTTCCCGCCCAACAGTAGTCTCTAACGCCTCTGATAGATGGGGGAAGCATTATAGATACCGCCAAGCCAGTAGAGGCGAACTCGCTGGCTCGGTCGGGACTGATGGTAGGCACCAATATCGGTAGGGTATAGAGACTGGTAGAATATCATAGAGGGAAGCACAGTAGATCAAACTGGTCGCGGTGCATGGGGAAACCCACCCTCTCCAATAACTAAATAACTAACTAAGGTGTTTCGAGGTTTTCTCAGTCACACCAAACATATCTGGATAATAGTGTCACCTGTATGAGTGTGATTATAGACGGGGTTTGGATTGGTGAATGGATTTACTGACCGTTTATACACCAGACTCAGAACTACACGCAATTACAGCGCCACCGCTAATCTCCACAATTCACAGATCACCACAGCACCCGCTAAGCCTTTTCCAGCCTACTGTCTTCACCAGCCGTTACCTGGCAACTGCTTCTAACAGCGTAGATTCTTCAGCTTCACGCGGTAAAGTCGTATCTTTACAGCCTCCCGTACAAGACTCAACTAACTTTGTCCCTTGCTTATAACATCTCGGCATGGACCACATGGAAAACTCCTTTCGGTCTCGTTTGCTAACCATTTCCGCTATAACGTGTTTACGGAACCGTTTCCTAACAGAGGCCGTCTTTTCTCGCTTTTTAAGAATCTGCTACCTAGCAACGGACGTTCCACTGCATGCTTCGCGGCCGTTGCCTGAAAACGAATGTCGCTTCAGAGTCATTCGCTAGCAACGGCTGTTTCTCTGGCTCTGCGGTTCTTGCTTCGAGCAAATATGGCACAATACCTTAAATTAGTCCAATCTTCCTTTCGTATCCTTTCCGGTTCATTATTCGCTCTCGTCCAGTCGTTCAGCGCTGTGCACTGTCAGTTACTGAGCGTTACGTAAGCTGACAAGGTGAACTCGTCAGCCCCTAAACCAAAATTGGGGGGGGGGCGATACACAGACAGCAAGGTGATCTCATGCGCCTCCTTGTATTTTTGCGAAATAAAGAAATAGGCTAAGAACTACTTAACATTATTATCACGCGTCACAACTGTTGCTGACATAGAGTGTAAGCCCCATAGAAGTGGCCATTTGATCCTGTCATACGCTTGTCTGTAAATACCAAGCACTTGTATGTTAAGTTTAGTTAGCTAACGAAAGGTACAAACCTGATATGTGGAGCATAGTTGTTTCAGAAGCGAAAGGTATCTCATATTTAAACACCTTGTTCTTCAGTAAAAAAGGTAATAGGCCTTGGAGGCCCATAGGGTTGTGAGACGTCGAGGCTCCCACATCGGCGACAATCGGCTAACACATGGCGGTGAGGTTGTCAGCCCTACGCGCCGGCCGCCCTTTACCCACAGGGAGATTACTGGTACTCATTTCTGTTAGAGACTGAGTCGACAGCAGGGCCATAGTACGGCTGGAAGGATTAGGTCAATTGAAAAATACAGTGACCCCATCGGGAATCGAACCCGCGACATTCCGGCTTGTAGGACAGTGCATCGACTAACTACGCCCTCAAAATAAAGGCCTTGGAGGCCCAGAGGGTTGTGAGACGCCGAGGCTCCCACGTTTCCTAGACAGTCGGCTCACAGGTGGCCGTGACGTCAGCCTTACGCGCCACCCGTCCGCCCTTTAGCCGCAGAAAGATTTGTGATACTCATTTCTGTTAGAGGCTCCTGGAGCTTATGTAGACGGCGCAGCAAACCAACTTTCCCGCTGCGTTTTGGTGCTTGTTTTCTTGGCGTGCTCTTCGACCCTGAAGATGGAGACAGTACTTTCCTCCGAAACGTCTTTGTATTTCTTCCAGACTACATGGCCTTACATCCGTCTTCTGGGATGTGACGCTGTGTAGTCTGGTAAGAAGTTCGCCGACGTTTCGGAGGGACACGCTGGCTTAATCTTCAGAGTAAGTTAAGCTAGCTACAGACAAAAAGCCACAACGTCTCTTATCTGTCTCCAATTTGTTGTACCTAATCACATAGCTTATTACATGATAAGCCACGTGTCCAATTACGTATTGTCTGAATCAACGTAATACAATTTTGCGACGTCATTCTGACGTAATCACAGCAGTATGCTTATAAAATTGCAATGTAATTGTCTGAAACATCGATGGGAAACCCACCCGTTGACATATATACATACGTAATCGTAGTAGCATGAACATTATACTGTCATTATACATTGCTCGTATGAATTGTGGTCGTATTTTCTTAAGATTACTATTTCTAGACTACTTTTGCGATTTTGAAAAATTAAAATAGGATTATGAAATCGCCTTGCTGTCTGTGTGTGTGTGTGTTTTTGAACCCCCCTCATACAACCTTTGAACCCCTGAACCGATCTTCATGAGACTTGGTATGTATATCATGCCACCTGAGGTCATCCCAACGGCGTACCTCATAAATCCCCACCCCACCCCAATCAGTAATACTAACATTGAAACCTCTCCAATTGTTGAGGCGACAACCTCAGTGTTACCTGAATGCCTGAGGCCGATCCATATAGAACTCGTCATGTATATCATGCCATCTGAGATCATCAACGGCCAGTTCATAATTCCCTCCTCTCAGTAATACCAAAATTTTGGGCCTCCCAAATTGTATTCTTCTATTGACTTGTAAGATTTGAGGTTTTCACGGCGGTGACTGTGAAGAATGCCGTCTTCAGGGGTGTGGCGCCGTGTAAATTTTGTGTGGACACATCTACACGGCGCCACATCGCAAAAGACGGCATTGTTCTTTTTATTGACTTCATTACACATGCCTGATAAAGTTATTTCCTCCCTTTGGCATCAGATACTATAATTGTAATGGAAGGAAAAGAGGCGATTAGCTCTTCCCAGCAGTACTTGTTTCTGTTGTTAATGCATTTAGCGACTTAAGCAGCCGAAATAAGAGCAGATGTTTGAAAACCAAGGCAGATTTTTGGAAATTTCTGAAACCTTAAAGGGTGATATTAAAGATAACGAGGGTTAACAGCATAATAAAACAGCGTATATTGTTGGAACGTGTTTACCGAACGATTGCATAGCAACGGTCGCGGCACGATTCCATGGGATACCCGTCACGTGATAGCTAGTACTGTTGAAGTGTGACGTCATTGCGCCTGCGCGGAAGTATGTTTACTGATCCGTTGCCTAGAAGCGGGTTCCATAACCTCGCTGTTCCGCTGTTTCCAGCGTGTATCGCGTCGTGAGATATTTAACGGTCTGTTACCTGGCAACGCTCTGTCCATCCACGTTACAGTATACTGTCACGTGTTTCCTAGGTAACGAGACAAGAAACGATGTTTATTGAAGAATAATTTGTTTACACTCACAATTATAATTCCCTCTTCAGTTGCTATCTTCTGCATCCCTATTCCCGGTGGAGTGTCTTCGTTCTTTGCTCTTCACTTACCGCTCATTGGATCTTGAACAGTGTTCACTGCCACCTACATTAGCTCGTCACGGATCACTTACAGAAATCACGTTGCTGATAATCAGTGAATATCATCTATTGTCAGGCATTGCCTAACAATGGACGCCCTATTCTTGC